ATTTTTTTGAGACAGTGTCTCACGCCCTGATCCTCACCTGCTATGCAGGACCACTGCTCACTGAAGCCCCAACCTCCCTGGGCTCAGGTGACCCTCCCACCTCAGCACCCTGGATAGCTGACACTACAGCTATGGCCCACCACCCTCAGCTAATTTTTGTATTTTTTGTAAAGACCAGGTTTCACTATGTTGTCCAGGCTGGTCTCGAACTCCTGGAGTCAACCAATCCACCCACTTTGGCCTCCCAAAGTGCTAGGATTACAAGTATGAGCCACTATACCTGGCCCACACTTCTTTATTATTATTATTATTATTATTATTATTATTTTATTTATTTTTGAGACGGAGTTTCGCTCTTGTTACCCAGGCTGGAGTGCAATGGCACGATCTCGGCTCACCGCAACCTCCGCCTCCTGGGTTCAGGCGATTCTCCTGCCTCAGCCTCCTGAGTAGCTGGGATGACAGGCACGCGCCACCATGCCCAGCTAATTTTTTTTTTGTATTTTTAGTAGAGACGGGGTTTCACCATGTTGACCAGGATGGTCTCGATCTCTTGACCTCGTGATCCGCCTGCCTCGGCCTCCCAAAGTGCTGGGATTACAGGCTTGAGCCACCGCGCCCGGCACTTCTTTATTATTATTATTATTATTATTATTATTATTATTATTTTGAGATGGAGTTTCACTTGTTACCCAGGCTGGAGTGCAATGGCGCGATTTCGGCTCACCGCAACGTCCACCTCCTGGGTTCAAGCAATTCTCCTGCCTCAGCCTCCTGAGTAGCTGGGATTACAGGCACTCACCACCATGCCCAGCTGATTTTTTGTATTTTTTTTTTTTTTTTTTCTGAGACGGAGTTTCACTCTTGTTACCCAGGCTGGAGTGCAATGGCGCGATCTCGGCTCACCGCAACCTCCGCCTCCTGGGTTCAGGCAATTCTCCTGCCTCAGCCTCCCGAGTAGCTGGGATTACAGGCACGTGCCACCATGCCCAGCTAATTTTTTGTATTTTTAGTAGAGACGGGGTTTCACCATGTTGACCAGAGTGGTCTCGATCTCTTGACCTTGTGATCCACCCGCCTTCGCCTCCCAAAGTGCTGGGATTACAGGCTTGAGCCACCGTGCCCGGCCGATTTTTTGTATTTTTAGTAGAGATGGGGTTTCACCATGTTGACCAGGATGGTCTCGATCTCTTGACCTCGTGATCCACCCGCCTCGGCCTCCCAAAGTGCTGGGATTACAGGCGTGAGCCACCGTGCCCGGACTCATTTTTTTTTTTTTTTTGAGATGGAGTCTTGCTCTGTAGCCCAGGCTGGAGTACAGTCACGCAATCTCGGCTCACTGCAACCTCTGCCTCCCCGGTTCAAGTGATTCTCCTGCCTCAGCCTCCCAAGTAGCTGGGATTACAGGTAGGTGCCCAGCTAATTTTTGTATTTTTGGTAGAGACAAGGTTTCACCATGTTGGTCAGTCTGGTCTTGAACTCCTGACCTTGTGATCCACCCACCTCAGCCTCCCAAAGTGCTGGAATTACAGGCGTGAGCCACTGCACCTGGCTCCCAGTGTTTTTTAAGATACTTTCACTCTCTCATTCTTTTGTCTCCAACAAAGACAGTGGCCAGGGCCAACTTGGTAAAGTTCTAGAAGTGCTCCCAGGCTGCATAAGCTAGAATCCTGCTGTTTTCAACTAATTTCCAGAGTTGCTCCTATTGAGTTCCCTCTGTACCCTGCTCAGATTCCTATTAGAACCTAATATGCTGCAGTGAAACCCTCAATTACACATCACATCCCTCTCTTCCCTTCTCTTCTACAAGCTCCTTGAATACAGGGACAAGGCCTGCCTGACTTAGGTTTTTCATCTTCAACCCCAGGGCAGAACATCCAAGTAGCAGGTGCCCAGCAAATGTTTTCTGCTCTAGCTGATTGTCTCAAATCCTTTCCAAAGGATTCATTCAAGTTTTCCTGCCTGGCTCTTCCCCCCACTTTTCTCTTATCCTTTTCAAAGGATACAGCACCACACTGATGGCGCGGGACTATAATCCCACTTTCCTGCTTTAGGGAAGCTAAAGGGTTTTCTTGCTCAGCTCCAGGCTCAGCAGCTTTCCTGGCTTCAGAAGAGATGGTGTTTTGGAGAGTGGCTGAATGCTCAGCTCCTAGGGACGTATTGTGGACCATCCTGTCCAATGTTGTTGGATACTACATAAAAGCTAGAGCCTAGCCGGGCGCGGTGGCTCAAGCCTGTAATCCCAGCACTTTGGGAGGCCGAGGCGGGTGGATCACGAGGTCGAGAGATCGAGACCATCCTGGTCAACATGGTGAAACCCCGTCTCTACTAAAAATACAAAAAAATTAGCTGGGCATGGTGGCGTGTGCCTGTAATCCCAGCTACTCAGGAGGCTGAGGCAGGAGAATTGCCTGAACCCAGGAGGTGGAGGTTGCGGTGAGCCGAGATCGCGCCATTGCACTCCAGCCTGGGTAACAAGGGCGAAACTCCGTCTCAAAAAAAAAAAAAAAAAGCTAGAGCCTCAAGGCACAAGACCTACGCAGCAGGAAGAGACACAGCCCTCCCCAAGGGCTCCATTTCCCATCTTTAGTTCAACTGTTGCCAATGTCCCCATCTTTATTTACTTTATTTATTTGAGACAGAGTCTTGCTCTATCACCCAGACTGGAGTGCAGTGGCAGGATCTCGGCTCACAACATTTGCCTTCTGGGTTCAAGTGATTCTTCTGCCTCCCCCTAACAGCTGAAATTACAGGCACCCACCACCACATCTGGCTAATTTTTGTATTTTTAGTAGAGACGGCGTTTCACCATGTTGACCAGGCTGGTCTCAAACTCCTGAGCTCAAGTGATCCGCCCACCTCAACTTCCCAAGGTGCTGGAATTACAGGTGTGAGCCACCATGCCCAGCCAATGTCCCCATGTTTAGATTGTCTGTCACCAACAGTTTGAGCCCCAGGTGCAGGAGACATACCCCAGATTTTTCTGAACTTCAGAAACTTTAACTACCAAAAGGCCAGGCTCAGTGGCTCACGCCTACAAACCCAGTACTTTGGGAAGCCAAGGTAGGAGGATCTTCTGAGCTCAACCTGAGCTGAGGAGTTTGGGATGAACCTGGCCAAACCTGTCTCTACTGAAAATACAAAAATTAACTGGGCATGGTGGCTCACACCTGTAATCCCTGTCTCTACTAAAAATACAAAAATTAGCTGGGCATGGTGGCATATACCTGCAGTCACAACTACTAGGGAGGCTGAGGCAGGAGAATCGCTAGAGCCTGGGAGGTGAAAGTTGCAGTAAGCTAAGATCACGCCACTGCACTCCAGCAAGACTCTGTCTCAAAGAAAGAAAGGGAGGGAGGGAGGGAAGGAAGGAAGGAAAGGAGGGAGAATAATCACCCAAAGGAAGAAAGGAAGGAAGGAAGGAAGGAAGAAGGGAGGGAGGGAGGAAGGGAGGATAATCACCCAAAGGAAGGAAGGAAGAAGGAAGGAAGGGAAGGAGGGAGGGAGGGAGGGAGGATAATCACCAAAAGAAACAGCCATGGCCTGGGAGTCAGGAGACTGAGTTCAAATCCTGACCTTTCCACAAACTCACTGTTAGCTTGGGAAGTGATTTAATCTCTCTGGTTTCAGTTTCCTTTATGAAAATAAAGGGGGATGGGCAAGGTTTTTTGTTGTTGTTGTTTTGTTTTTGTTTTTTTTTGACGTGGACTTTTGCTCTTGTTGCCCAGGCTGGAGTGCTGGGACCTTTGCTCACTGCAACCTCGGCTTCCCAGTTTCAAGCGATTCTCCTGACTCAGCCTCCTGAGTAGCTGGGATTACAGGTGTCTGCCACCAGGCCCTGCTAATTTTTTTTGTATTTTTAGTAGAAACGGGGTTTCACCATGTTGGCCAGGCTGATCTTGAACTCCTGATCTCAGGTGATCCACCCACCTCAGTCTCCCAAAATGCTGGGATTACAGGCATCAGCCACCGTGCCTGGTGAGGCCGAGGTGATTTTTCTAAATCTTTTCCAGTTCTAAGGCATTATGGAAATTTTGTTTTGTTTAATTTTGTTTTGAGAGGAGTCTCCCTTTGTCGCCTAGGCTGAAGGGCAATGGCCGGATCTCTGATAACCGAAACCTCCGCCTCGCAGATTGAAGTGGTTCTGCTGCCTCAGCTTCCCGAGTCGCTGGGATTACAGGCGCGGGCGGGCTACCATGCCTAGCTAATTTTGTATTTTAGCAGAGACATGGTTTCACCCTGTTGGTGTGGCTGGTTTTGAACTCCTGACCTTGTGATCCACTGGCCTTGGCCTCCCAAAGTACTGGGATTACAGAGGTGAGCCACAGAACCCAGTGAAAAAAATTATTTTAAACTTTGTATGCTTCCTACACAAAATGTTAAGGCATTTCAACCTTTACAAGACTCCTGTGTTTAACTCAAATCACTTAGTCACACTACTGGTGAGGAAACGTGGGCAGGGTTTGATGACCTTTCCGAGGCGACCCAGGGTTCCTGCGCCTCTTTGCTAGACCAGAATGGCTCGGAGTAGCCTCAACAGCAGCTTCATTCCCAGGACCCCACCTTCCTTCCCCTCCTAGGCCCGTATCCCCAACCTCCGTGCTCAGTGAGAAGAAAGAGGCCGTGACCTAGGGCCTGACTCGGAGGTCACACCTACGACCATTGCGCAGGGGCCCAGGCCTTTTCCGAATTCCAAATGACGTCCCCGCAGGGCCAGGTCCCGGGTTTGGGAGTAGGGGTGGTGCTCCGGCGCGTGGAGAACGCCGCTCGGAGGCCCCCGGTGGCCATGGGAACGCGGGCCCAGCCTCCTGTGCTGCCATGGCAACAGGCTCCCCCGGCGCCGGGGCTCGTGCCCATCCGAGCGTTCAGGTGGCGCCCTCTGGGGAGACGGGCCGGGCAGGAGGTGCGGTGCAGGGTGGGGGCGGCGACTGCGCGGGTTTCGGCCTGGTCCGCCACCTTTCCGGCCGGAGCTCCTACCTCCCAGGGCTCCCCGCGCCTACCTGGAGTGGGTCAGGGCCAGCGCACCGGCATCGCCCCCCGTGGGGCCGCTCTTCCCGTAGTGTCCCCTGCCTCGGCGGGCCCGGCGCCGTCCCTTGGGACCCGGAGTCTCGGGCGCACACCCTCCGTCGGGCGCTGCTTCCCCGGAAATGCTGGGCCCCCGCCAAGCCCCGCCCTGCCCCGCCCCTCCCCGCCCGTGTTTACGGGAATTGTCCCGAGGACGCCTCCGGGACTCGCCTGCTATCTGCCGTGCCTCCCAGCCCCGCCGCCGCCCCCCAGCCATTTGCAGCCATGCCGGATTCGAAGCCACCCCCACCCCGGCCTGTCGGGTCCCACTCCCCACCATGGGACTGTGCGGTCCTTGAACTCGGGAGACTCGGCCTTGCTGGACCTGGGCCACAGCGGGCGGCCTCAATAGCTGGAGTCTGGGCTAGCATGGGTTGAAATCCTAACCGCCTATGTTACCTAGGAGGAGTTCCTTAACCTCTCTGAGCCTTGCGTTTTCCATCTGTAAAGTGGGCATCAGTACACTAGAGACCCCACAGGTTGTGGTGAGGGATGCCATGGTGGAGGCACGCACCTGGCACGCGCTCGGCTCTCAATAATGGCGGTATTGTTTACAGAAGGAGGCAAGTGAGAGAGAGGAGGGCAGAGCCACACCGTGAAACCACCCACGTCTCCACCCAAGAGAAATCTGCTCACTGCTCCCTTTACATGTAGTGGGCGTGCGTGCTGAGAGAGTGAAACGAAACGGAGATCTGCAGGACGGGTGAAAGATAGGGTTATAAATACCTCGCGTTTATCAAGTGACCTTGGACCTCCCCCTCTAGCTCCTGCGTTCCCGTGCTCCTGTCTTCCAGGAAAGCAGCAGTAGCAGCTTTCAGGGCGGATACTGAAACAACCAGTTCTGGGCTTGTAAGTGGCTGAGCTGGCCTGAGCTGCTGGGTCCAGGGATTGCAGAAACCAAAGGCCAAGTGGCAGCCGGTTCCAGGGCCGGGCAGGCCTGGCCTAAGTGTACACTGTCCTGCAGCCTCTTTTCTCCGGGAATTCCTGCCTAGAGCCTCCAGTAAAAGAAAAAACTCGGCCGGGCGCGGTGGCTCAAGCCTGTAATCCCAGCACTTTGGGAGGCCGAAGCGGGTGGTTCACAAGGTCAAGAGATTGAGACCATTCTGGTCAACATGGTGAAACCCCGTCTCTACTAAAAATACAAAAAAATTAGCTGGGCATGGTGGTGCGTGCCTGTAATCCCAGCTACTCAGGAGGCTGAGGCAGGAGAATTGCCTGAACCCAGGAGGCGGAGGTCGCGGTGAGCCGAGATCGCGCCATTGCACTCCCGCCTGGGTAACAAGAGCGAAACTCCGTCTCAAAAAAAAAAAAAAGAAAAAAACTGGTTAATTTTGTTACCTCTTAATAAAAGTGAACACATATTTAGTGCCGGACAGTTAGACAACAGAAAAACACAAAAATATTATCATGGCTGGGCATGGTGGCTTACACCTGTAATCCCAGCACTTTGCGGGGCCTAGGCGGGCAGATCACCTGAGGTCAGGAGTTCCAGACCAGCCTGGCCAACATGGAGGAACCCCATCTATACTAAAAATACATTAGCCAGGTGTGGTGGCTAGTGCCTGTAATCCCAGCTACTCCGGAGGCTGAGGCAGGAGAATCGCTTGAACCCGGGAGGAGGAGGTTATGGTAAGATGAGATCTTGCCATTCCTGGATAACAGAGCCAGACTCCATCTAAAAAAAAAAAAAAAAAAAAAAGGCCAGGTGCAGTGGCTCACACCTGTAATCCCAGCATTTTGGGAGGCTGAGGCAGGTGGATCATGAGGTCAGGAGATTGAGACCACCCTGGATAACACAGTGAAACCGGGTCTCTCTCTCAAAAAAAAAAAAAAAATCTTGGCTGGGCACAGTGGTTCACTTCTGTAATCCCAGCAGGAGGATGGCTTGAAGCCAGGAGTTCAAGACCAACCTGGGCAACATGGCAAGACCCCCGCCTCTACCAAAAAAAAAAAAAAAAAGGAAAAGAAAAAATGATTGCCAGGTGCACCTGTAGTCCCAACTACTCAGGTGGCTGAGGTGGGAGGATCACTTGGGCCCAGAAGTTTCAGTGAGCAATACAGTGAAATCCCATCTCTAGAAAACTTAAAAAAATAATAAGAAGAAGAATTCTCACATACTTTCATTTTAATGTATTGTATCACATGAATGTAGCACGCATTTTTAATCAAGTAGGTATTTGTTTCTAATTGTTCATTATCTTAAGTAATGTTGAATGCATCCTTGTCAATAAACCTTTATACACTTCCTCAATTATTTCCTTCTGCCTCTTAAATTCTTCCTTCCTCCTTATAGTCATCCAATTAGTAGCAATATGTACTGTGTTTATAACTAAGGCCATGAACCTGTACAAACCGCTTTTAAAATCCTCCCAATCCTCTTATTAGCTCTGCGTTTCAAACAGTGCTGGAGTGGGGACAAGCCTTACTAAGAATACGAAGAGCACAGCTAAATTAGAGTTCTCACCTAAGGTCACCCAGCCCCTGCAAGCTATGCCTGACAAGGAGCTATGTTAAAAATCAGCACTTCTTTCTCCAGAAGACCCTCTAGAAAAAAATACTAAAATAATTAAAAACAGATTTAATAAAAATAAAAATCAGCACTTCCAAGTTTCCAGCACACAGAGCACCTTGGGAGCAGCCCTGCTCAGAGGAGCACCTGGAAACTAGGAGTCCCCGGTGGGGCCTCAGAGTTCCGCAGGGATTTGGCTCCTAGAGCCTCCTGCCTTTTCCTGTTCGGTCTCCTCCTCCAACCATCCTGCAGTCTTCTATGGAATAAAGGGAAAAATCTTTAATGTCGTTGAAATAAAGCTCTCTTTTTAATGCAATTGATACCCCTTCTTCTATCTTCTCCCCCTACCCTCAACACACATACCCTGGCCACTCTTCAGGATCTCAAGTGCAGAGAGGTTTGAGTTAATACCGTCTCGGTTGACAGCACATTGTTATCATTTCTCTGCATAGGGACCCTTGATTAATGTAGCTGTTTATTTCCTTGTATCCTCATTTCTCCTCCCCCTCCCTCCCCACATAGAAAACCATTAAGATATTTAATATACATGATTTTGTTCTTACATGTTCTTCAAAATGTGTATTTTAGAATTGGATGCATATTTTTGTTAACTTTTTAATTTTTAAATAATTATAGATCCGCAGGAAGTTGCAAAAATAGTACATAGTGTCCCATGAACCCTTCACCAGCTTTCCACAATGATGATGTTATATAATTGTAGTAGAATTGCAAAATAAATAAATTGACATTGGTCAACACCGTAAATAGACTACAGACCTTATCGTTCAGTTTCTGCTTGTGCTTGTTTGTGTATGCACAGATAAATGTGTGTATAGTTTTATGCAATTTGAACCCATGAATGCATTTGTGTATTGTCCACCACCATCAAGATACAAACTATTCCATCACCGTGTAGGAAACTTCATGGTACTCTTTATAGTCACACTCCTGTCACTGCCCCCTGACAACCATTAATCTCTTCTCCATCTGTATAGTTTTGTTACTTCAAGAATGTTATGTAAATACAGTGCATAACCTTTTGAGCCTGGCTTTTTTCTTTTTCTTTTTTTTTTCCTTTGAGACACAGTTTTGCTCTGTCGCCCAGACTGGAGTGCAGTGGTGCCATCTTGGCTCACTGCAACCTCCACCTCCCAGATTCAAACAATTCTCCAGCTTCAGCCTCCTGAGTAGCTGGGATTACAAGCATGGGCTACCATGCCTGGCTAAATTTTGTATTTTTAGTAGAGATAGTAGAGATGGGGTTTCAGAGGCCGGGTGTGGTGGCTCATGCCTGTAAATCCAAGCACTTTGCAGGCCAAGGCGGGCGGATCACCTGAGGTTGGGAGTTCAAGAACAGCCTGACCAACATGGTGAAACCTCGTCTTTAAAAAAAAATTTAAAAAAAAAAAAAAAGAAGAAGAGTCTCTCTCTGTTGTCCAGCCTGGAGTAGAGATTAGCTTTTTTTGATAACCGTAATGCCCTTGATACCTTTGTATATCAATAGTTTTTTCCTTTTTATAATACTGAGCAGTATCCCATGGTATGCATGTAGCAGAGTTTAACTCTTTTTTTGTACAGATGGGGGGGGTCCCACTATATTGCCTAGGCTGGTCTTGAACTCCTGTGCTCAAGCAATCCTCCTACCTCAGTCTCCCAAAGTACTCGGATTACAGGCATAAGCCACCACACCCGGTTCCGAGTTTCTTCACCCATGAATTGAAAGCTATTTGGATTGTTTACAATTTTGGGCCATTATAAATAAAGCTACTCTGAACATTTGTGTACAGGTTTTTATTTGAATGTGAGTTTTCATTTCTCTGAGACATATGTCCCAAGAATGCCATTGTTGTGTCTTATAGTAAGTGAATATTTAGTTTTATAAATTGCCATCATGTTTCGCAGAATGGCTGCACCATTTACATTTCCACCAGGGTGGTAGAGAGATCCATTTTCTCCACATTGTTGCCAGCATTTCCTGTTATCAATGTTTTTTATTTTATCTGATCTCATGGGTGCATAGTAATATCTCATTGTGATTTTTTTCACTGTAATTTTAATTTGTATTCCCCTAACGGCTTATGGTGTTGAATATCATATATGTGTGTGTGTATATATATATATATATATTTTTTTTTTTTTTTTTTTTTTAAAGAGATGGAGTGGCCGGGCGTGGTGGCTCACGCCTGTAATCCCAGCACTTTGGGAAGCTGAGGCGGATGGATCATGAGGTCAACAGATCGAGACCATCCTGTTCAACAAGGTGAAACCCCATCTCTACTAAAAATACAAAAATTAGCTGGGCATGGTGGTGCGTGCCTGTAGTTCCAGCTACTCAGGAGGCTGAGGCAGGAGAATTGCCTGAACCCAGGAGGCGGAGGTTGTGGTGAGCCGAGATCGCGCCATTGCACTCCAGCCTGGGTAACAAGAGTGAAACTCCATCTCAAAAAAAAAAAAAAAAAAGAGAGATGGGGTTTTACCATATTAGCCAGGATGGTCTCAAACTCCAGATCTTGTGATCTGCCTGCTTTGGCCTCCCAAAGTGCTGGGATTACAGACGTGAGTCACCGTGC